ACCAATTCTGTAGTGTTTTCAGCTGGGATGACACCGATGTGCAGCCAGTTCTACCACCGAGTCCCTACCCAGACTTGACAAACATCACCGTGTCTGTTAGCGGAGTCCTCTAGTTACTGACGTCGCTCAACTTGAAACTAGCTGCCAATGAAGTTGCCCCAGTACTGGCATTCATATTCCAACAATCACTTGACCTGCTGGGTTCTCTACCATCTGACTAGAAGAAAGCCAACGTAACACCCATTTTTAAGAAAGGCTCTCGTGCAGACCCGGCAAACTACAGACCTGTGTCGTTGACCTCTGTTTGCTTTAAGTTATTAGAGCACATCATTGATAGCCAATAAATGAAACACCTCCAGGAACACGACATCCTGAACGAAAACCAACATGCTTTTCGTAAAGGCCTGACCTGCAAATCCCAACTCGTAACAACTCTGGATGACATCTCCTACAATTACAATAATCAAATCACCACAGACATGGCAGTACTTGACTTCTCCAAAGCATTCGACATAGTTTCTCATCAAAAACTGGTCCAAACATTAGACTACTACGGGATAAGGGGAAAAACACAGAGATGGATCAGGGAATTCTTAACCAACAGGTCACAATGAGTTGTGGTAAATGGAAAATCTTTGAAATGGCAAAGTGTCGACAGTGGCGTACCACAAGGCACCGTGCTTGGCCCCCATCGGTTTTTACTTTTCATCGATGACATTAGCAAATCAGTGACTGGCACAACTCGCCTTTTCGCTGACGACTGCCTGTTATATTGGAAGATCTGCTCATCAACTGATGAACTGATGTTCCAAAAAGACCTGGACAACTTGGCTCACTGGGCGCAAACCTGGGGAATGAAATTTAACTCCAGCAAATGTAACATCATGCGAATCTCCGGGAAGCGGGCCCCCAGCAAAACTAACTACACCATGTTAGGATCCAACCTCGTACTCGTAGAGAAAACCAACATCACATATTTGGGAATAATCATTCAGAATAACCTAAGTTGGAATCACCAAACAGCATATGCCACTTCCAAAGCAAGTCGTATATTGAGCTTCATCAAAATAAATTTTCATTCTGCATCCAGATCAGTCAAAGAAAAGCTGTACTTAGCAGTAGTCAGACCACACCTAGAATATGGCAGCATTGCTTGGAACCCTCACATAGCTAAGAACATAACATCCCTGGAAAAAGTGCAACTGATGAGGGCTGCTCGTTTCGTAATGTGAGATTATTCCAGACTGAGCAGTGTGACCGACATGTTGACAACCCTAGGCTGGTCTTCACTGGAAGAGAGAAGGAAAGTTAACCAACTTACCTACTTACCTACTAAAATAATACACAACATAGTTCACATTAACTCATCATCCATAGTCCCCAGACCAGCACCGGCTCGTAGAATTCACAACCACCAGTTCACAGAAATTGCAGCAAGGACAGACATCTATATGCAGTCATTCCTACCCCGAACTATCCGGAAATGGAACAAGCTCCCTCAAGACACCACAGACGCCCCAAACCACAACACCTTTAAGGATTTAATTTAGTTCCACTTCCCCAAGGCCTCCTTGCTAGACTTCCACGTGGAGTATTCAGGATAACCACCAAGTACCAAGTACCAAGTAAAGGTGCATTTTTTTTTTATGAAATTGAACCCTCATATCCCCAATTTAAAAAACTTACCTGGAAAGCAACAAAACTATTTTGCAACAAAATTAATTTCACTGGGTTAAAGTATTAAGTTTCCAATAAGCAAGAATGGACAAAATCACATGAATGAGATTACACTTAGCTGACCTGGCAAAGGAGCAAACGTCTTCACCAAGTAAAAGAATAACAAGTCACCTTTGGATTTGTCCTCCTCATCTTCATTGGGAATGGCATCCATAGTGATGGCCGCATCTGTTGGCATCTTGACAACATCACCCTCTGTAACTGTGGTTGACGTTACCTCCCCAGTTGGGCATCATCAGAAGTTGGTCCCTGCTTCTCATCCATTTTGGTGTTATTACGTTGGACTAAAAACACACTGGAAATATAAAGAAACTGCACATAAAGCAGTTGTATACTATTGAAAGCCATGACCAGTGGGATATCTAGGGGGAGGGGTCAAAATTTGTCCCTGCTAATTTTGACTTTTTAGGACATATCATTTTCTGATGGCTGATAGGTCATTTAAGGGAAAAATTACGGCGATCGTGAAGTGTAGGGCCCCCGTTTTGTTTTGATCAAATTAGAATCGAAAATGCTTTTTATTGCTCAAAACTCACCTTTACAATCAAAAGCAGCCTTTTCTCAATTCTAATAACACACATTTTACAATTTTGAACAGATTCTTGGGGTAGAAATCACGGTTTTCCTGCGCGGTTTGTACCTTGGGATTCAGCGCGCCTTGCATGCTCACGGAACATCGCGCGGTGATTGCCATCTCAAATTTCGGGTCGCATGTTGTCGCCGCGCCGTCATTGTCATTTTACCCCCAAATTTCCCTCAAAACATCAAAACCCTGCCCTCTATCTATGACAAACCTGTTTATTGAGAATGTTGCAAACTATTATGGTAGGTCAAATAATTTTTAAGTGGATTTTGTTCCTCAAGTTATAGGAACCGGGCCTGCACTTCACGATGGCCGAAGTATTAACTCAACTGTAGCTGGAGTTACCCAGCCCTAAATTTTATCATTGGGTTGTCATCTAGATGACAACCCAATGATACCCATTGGGTGCTGGGTAACTCCAGCTAACTCAACTGAGAAAACACTTAAAAATTTTCAGACCAGTCTCAAAGGGTTTGTGCACAGGGTGGCAAGTGATGGCCAGATATGGGAATCTTTCCTTTAATGTTAATTGTTATTGTTAAGCATCTCAAACTTGTCACGAATGAGATACCACGCTATTGAATACAAATAATAAACGCAGTACGTCTATCAAACTCAAAGTATCATGTCCGATATGGCCACTTTTTGCAGTACGTTTCAGTTTCACTAAATAAAATAATGCAGATTTCACCAATAGCTAATATAAACAACTACATTAATGTTATCATTTATTAAATGGTTAAATAAAATTATCTACTGATACTGACCAAGAAAGTGACACAGGCAACAGGTTTCGGCCACTCGGAAGATAGCGCCAGATTTACAGTCGCGTGTTTATGTTGTTGAATGCTGCCCTCATGTGTCGTTCGATTGGCATGCAAGCTCTTTCGAAACATCGGCCTCCATCGCAGTCCCTACTGCTTCAGCTTCATATATTGAACTGGTATCCTTTTTTTTAACGAGACGCATACGTCTTCCATAACGGAAGCTCAACAATATTTATTTGTCTATTATTATTTGATAACTCACGCTTTCTGGGTAGCTGTGTGGAAATTTCATAATCTTCTTAAATTTTTATAGTAGATGAAGCCGAAGCTGGGAATGAATCGAATTTTTAAAAACTCTTTAAACCCATGTTTTCTTTTTTTTCTGGAGGGCTAGGCCGGCGCTGTTTACGCAACTCAAGTAAGTTTCCACAGGGAGAAATGGCTTTAAGGGAAATAAATAAGCTGTTTACGCTGAACACTAGTTTTTCAGTTTTTCCCCTTGACCAGTTTGAGTGGCTCTTCACCAAGGTAATGAAAGTCGAAGGAGCGTCAATAGAGCTAGAGAGGGGCTATGTGCAAATATTATGTTGGACATTTTACAAATCCCGGGAGCATCAAACTAGGCCTATATCTATACTAATAAAAAAGTAATAATATAGCAGTGTTGAACCCCACGTACAGGAGCGACACAAAATATTGAATTCTACTTCGAATGCTGGAGGGAACTATATGCTTAAATGTTTCCAGTGACGGGTGCATATGTAAGTAAACACTAAATGAAATGTTTTTTTGTGGCTATAACTTTGCCAATAGAAATAATTATTAACAGACTTTTGTCTAAAAACTGTTGAGATACTTTGGACAGTATTTTTACCTATGAAATATAAATGAGGTTGATATTTGTTTCACACGAAGTAAAGAATAATAAAAAAAGACTGCCGAAAAATTTAAATTGTTAAAACACAGCGTCACTGTAGCTCACCTATTATTACTGCATTTCACTGCCAACCTGGTTCGCTACAGTGGTGAAGCAACAACTCACAAATAATTAAGATACCTAAAGTAGTCAAAACAAAACTAGAAAGACACAACATTTTTTAATCATCCTTTTTATACAACTGGGCAGAAAGTCCTTAATGCCTGGTGAACTGGATAAAAATCGCCACTTGAAGGAGTTTAGGCAACACAAAAAGAGAAATTTCCCATTCCGCGATAATAGGGATGCTGCGATAATAGGGAGTCCGACTAAACTTTAAAAATATAGCAACGGCATACTAAAGTTATATTGCAAATGTTTCTATTTTGGGAGAATCTGTATACATTTGTAAAATGTTATGTAATTGGCACACGGATGATTTTCAGCAAAACATTTTCGGAACTCTTTCCATGCATAGGATTTAACTAAGCTTCTTAGACTTTCGACAAAAGTATATTATAATATTTGTGGATTTATTTTATTTACCTCCTATTTTCAATTATGATATGATTTTAAATATTATGCATGCAGTTGTTTTTACCAAAATGGAAAGAAATTCATTTATTTCATATATAAACAAACGCGCATTTAATAACAATGTCGGATGACAAATCCACATTGGTTTAGGAAGTAGGACACAATGGAGACTTTCGTGGCAGCCAATTTGACTCATCTGCAGACGATGACGTTCTTGGTGCTTCCTTGACGTTCGATATTGTTCAAATTATTTTTCTATGTAGTTAATATTAGTCATTCTTTCAATGTTAAAGTCCACAACTGTGTAGAATTTAGTTTATGCAAGAAAAAAATTGGTCCAAGTACTAAGTGCGCAAAAAATGGCCAATGTTTTTCTACATCACTACCTCGTGTTGGTTCAGCATCAGAGGTGACGGAATGTTGCCACCTAACGCTGCTTTTTCCTTCGTATATCATCTCAATGAAGGTCAGTAATTGCAAAAATGATGATATATTGATAAGACATGAATCTTGGACTGAGAAACATTTCCAATTTTGTTAGGAAATACTTAAAAAATATCTTGACTCTCCATAGACTTTGTACACAACTGCAGAAGTAGCGTCAGGTTGCAACATTCTTTCCGAGGTGACTGTTGGCTCTCCAAGAAAGCCTTCTAAAACCTCTTCCACCGCCTCAAAAGAGATCCCATCTGCGAGTGGTTTCTTTGTTAAATGTTTTATGCCTGGTTTTTATGAACTGCCACTTTGAAAACTGCTGTGAAGATTTGGATTTGAGTAGAAAATGAGATTTCTACTGATTTCATTGGCGTAGCCATTTTATAACATTTTTTTGACATCATGCATGTTAACTTGACAGTTTTTCTCAATTGTTTTTTTCGCAACTGTAGGCGCATCCATCAGTGCAGACGAAAGGCGCTGAGGCAGACTGGACGCCCATACAATGCACAGACAGGGAGTGTAGCCACTCCTTGATGAAGGCTCCGCATCTGCACTGTCCATTCTGCTCCCAGGACAGTCTCTTCACTGAGGAGATTCTCCTCAAGGCGCACTACGTACAGGGTCAAGTACGTGGATAAAGGCATCAACTTTGGGGGTGAGTTTGGGAACAAGACCAAGTGCACCAGACTTTTCCAACTGATGCGCACTGTGCTGCATGTGGCAGGGTTAGGGTTAATTATAAAGATAAGTTGAAGGTAGTGGACAGCAGGACAAGGTAGTGGCATTTGTGGGAGTTTTATGAAATTGACAGATACCTGGGCTGGTTATTCTTAGCAGATATCAGTGTTCGATAAACTCCCTGTAGAGGGGTGTTTCAAAAAAGCATGAAGTGAACTTGTTGAACAAAATCTGGGGGTTTTTTTACCGAAAAGTTTTGACTCAAGTATCCATTCTTTTGAGAATGATTAGACACACCTTTTTGGTTTAAGTGTTTGAAAGCGCACTTATTTTTAACCTTCACAGTTTCAGTGCTGCTTCAAGACAACTGAGTATGCCGTTGCTGTGATGTAATGGTCCCCTTGTACAATCTGCATGAAAAAAAAAACCATGGAATAAATTTAATCAGTTGAAATTTATGTACCTTGTGAGCAGGTGTGGTAGTTCTACAAGGATTTGGGTGGATTATGTCAAATGCCAACACTTCGTGCCTTTTAAAATAATTAATTGTGAACCTAATTTTATCACTGTATGTTTGTGTCGTAAATTGAATCTTTTGCTACCTTACAGGTTTAAGTCTCATTTTATCAACCTTAACGACTGCACTCCACCATTTTTACCCAGGATGTCAACCAGATCTTCACCACATACACTGACCCAGCACCCAACAGTACCAGCCTGGTAACACACCTCATAGTCCCCCAGTCACAGCAGCCATCGGAGACAGACACATCATCCCCGGGGCTATGAGCAGACTGATGGGCAGCAGCCGCAGATCGAGTACCAGTATGCCTGCATCAATGATCCGAGTCAGAGCACTGCCAATGGGGAAGGTAAGATGGTAAGAATATTAACCCTGACCCTCCAAGAATCCTTCAGCATCTACGCAGAGGTTAAGGTGGATAATGCCACCAGCAGTGAAGGATAATTAGAAGAAGCTGACCAAAAAGCCAAGGGGGAGGCATTTGATGCAAGGAAGAACTCTTCCCCCCCCCCACCCCCCCACCCCCCCCCCCCACTTTGTTTTCAATTGATATATCGTGAATCCATATGGAAGAAGGGAATGGGTAGACAACAGCATGTTTAATACAGTTGTCTTCACTCCTGCACTTGTTTGGTCAATAAAATAAATAAAACAACAACCAAAAGTTCAGCATTTTTTTAGGGGGTTGGGGTGGATGAGGGCCAATATTGACAGTGGATTTTACAAATTGAAATTACAAGGTGCAAAGGGTGTGCCATTGGCGTTATTTAAGTTGATTGAATTTTGGAGGATTCAGGAAGGTTCTAAGCAACAAAAAAAATCTAATAAGTCAGGGTGGCAGTACATTTTGAGAGCTGACTTCAACAATTAATTAAATATTGGCATTTGTCCTTCACCTTGCCCACCTAATGTTAGGAATACGGTTTGAAAAAGTGAGTGATTGCTTGCACCCAGTTACAAGGAATTACATGTTCTTGACACACTGCATCACTTTGGACTTTCTTGCCTGTATCCTGTTTTTACCGCTACATATCATCTGTCCCATTCAAGCGCAACATATATGTCGACCTTTCTACTCCATAAACTCCTCCCATCATTTCCCCTCTTTGTGTAGCCCACACCTGGAGTGACCTTTTGATGACCGACTTTCATTATTACAGGAATCATTATTCAGGATAATTACTCAACCTTTCCCTCTCGTAAACAGTTGTCCTTATTGAAATACCAGATGAAGGAAGCAAAGAGGATTTGGAGGACGAGACTTGCTACACAGAGCACAACTTGTCGCTGCTGCTGCAGGAGAAGGAAAGTCTGGAGAAGACTCTTGAGGAGGAGCGGACCACGTGGGCCCAGACAGAGCACAGAATGAAAGGTACTATAGAAAGGCTTTGTACAAAGGTGAGTGGGCATTCCATCTGGTCTTGGTCTAAGAATGAGTTTGGATCTTGTTCCCTGCATGCAACAGGTACCAAGGGCGTCAATCGCTTCTCAAAAGTGGGAGGGGGGACATACCTTGATCAGAACTAATGCAGGCACACTAATGCGACTGCGTTCTTTCAGTGGTCAGATTTCTGTCAGGATGCCAGCTGTCATGGCTGTGGACGATCATGGTGTGCACTGTTGTTGTCATTGCTCTACATTTTCTACACGTTCTACGCTACACGTTCTACGTTGTTTTATGCGCTGACGCTGCTTATGATAAATGCAGACAAACCGTTCCACACATTTTGTACACAAGCTCAGATGTGTCGTTTATCCTTGTGTAGAGGATTCGTGGTTTCACTCAAACTCTAGTTGCACTAAATAACTGGGTAACAACACATGTGCCTTCTTAAGCATTCATGCTCCAACTGCACACATCATGAAGTGCATAAATGTCAGACTTTGGTGTGCGCTGTCATGGTTGTGATTGGTTACACATCATGGGGCAGAGCCTAATGGATTGGTCTATTAAAATTCCATCTGTAAACAAATAATTTCTCTGCCCATCCGTCTTGCCCTCCAGGTTGAGTATTTGTCCAACACAAACATGTCACTCAAGCAGCAGCTGTCCATGATTCACACGTCCAGTTTGAAACATCTAACCAACGACAGCGAGAACCAGTCCATTTTGCAAGAGTTACTGCAACACATGTCTGAGGAGCACACCCAGCTGCTGCACCACCATCTAGCACAGCTACGGCTGTACGCTCAGGCCTGCGCATTATCCAAATCAGCCCCCGAGGAATCTGCAGCTGAATCTACAGTCTTGGTACCAGACCTGGCTGACCAATCACAGGACATCTCACACATGGCCATGATGTCGTCCTCGGAGGGCACCCTTGGGAACATGGAGTAGACAGTCGTCATGACGATAACGTCTGAGGAGGATTCGGAGCCGTCGGCAACATCGTGGATAACCCCGGAGATACTGTGGGACATGACTCCTTGACTTTGGATAAGGACGTTCACTTGTCACCAAATGACATTCTGTACCAACTGACAAGCGAGGGACTGTCATCAAGACATGCCACCTCTGAGTCGGGTCACGTTTATCAATCAGGTAGAACTCATTCACATCACAACACAGGCTGTGATGTCACGCAACAGGATTTTCACAAGAACAAAAGTTGAAAATTGGTTCTTTCCAACAGCATGCCAAAAATATTCTGCCCCGATGGCTTTGACAAAAGAACGTTTGATGACAACATGTCAAATGAGGGACCACCATTAAAATGTGGGAGAACTAACAGCCTGAAAGCCACTTAACTAAATAAAACCGGACATATTTTGTAAACAGTGTACACTCAGTGTTGTCTTAGGGCTTAGTTGGGGGGGGGGGGGGACTTGAACTAATGAGTTGAGTCTTCATGGAAGTTTGTCTTACCTGAATGAAAAATTTTACCAAAGCAACTGGCCTTGGTCTCTCCTATCTTTTCGAGTTCTCGATGGGCAATCCCGAATCCGCTCAGTGAATGGGCGTCGTTGTAGGCCCAAACAGATCCATGTAGGTCCTCAAATCTATTACTGAAACATAAACGATGCAATTATGATTAACATTGAAACATTTGGTCGTATGTATAAAAACTAGCATTTGCTTTTTTTTTACTACATATTTTTAAGCATAACTTTTATTTGCATGAATAAAAATGAGAGCAAATGCTTTCACTATTTGCTTCAAGCTAAAAGTATTTGCTTTTTTACTTTTTGGCTTTTGCTAGACTAGAAGTGTGGACTGGTTTCAAACTTGAAAAAAATATAAATTTCAATTGACCTCAAAATTAATAAAATTTTAAAATCTAAAACTCCAACTGTGGGACTTGAACCAGCAACCTTCAGAAGTTCAGATTTAGGGTCATCAGTCCGTATTACTTGATTAAGCACAACTTCACACTATTTTGTGGTTACAAAATTAACTGTAAAGTTTCAATTGACCTAAAAAGTAGTAAAATTTTGAAATCTAAAATTCCCAGCGTGGGAATGAACCTGCAACCTTTAGATTTAGAGTCAGCAGTCTGAACCACTGCACTAAGCATAATTTCATGCTTGTTAGTGGTTACGGAATTAACTATCAAGTTTCAATTTACCCAAAAGAAATAAAACTTTAAAATCTAAAATTCCCACCCTGGATTGGAACCCGCAACCTTCAGATTTAGAGTCAGCAGTCCATACCATTGGACTAAGCATAATTTCACACTTTTTTGTGGGTACGAAATTAACTATTAAATTTAAATTTACCCAAAAAGACATAAAATTTTAAAATCTAAAATTTCCACCCTGGATTTGAACCGACAACCTTCAGATTTAGAGTCGGTAGTCCATACCATTGGACTAAGTGTAATTTCACAATTTTTAAGGGTTACGAAATTAACTATCATGTTTTAATTTACCCCAAAAAGTAATAAAATTTTAAAATCTAAAATTCCCACCCTGGAATTGAACCCACAACCTTCAGATTTCGAGTCAGTAGTCCATACCATTGGACTAAGTGTAATTTCACAATTTTTAGTGGTTACGAAATTAACTATGAAGTTTAAATTTACCCAAAAAGACATAAAATTTTAAAATCTAATATTTCCACCCTGGATTTGAACCCACAACCTTCAGATTTAGAGTCAGTAGTCCATACCATTGGACTAAGTGTAATTTCACGATTTTTAAAGCTTACGAAATTAACTATAATGATTTAATTTACCCAAAAATAAATAAAATTTTAAAATCTAAAATTCCCACCCTGGAATTGAACCCACAACCTTCAGATATAGAGTCAGCAGTCCATACCATTGGACTAAGCATAATTTCACACTTTTTAAAGGTTACGAAATTAACTATAATGATTTAATTTACCCAAAAAGTAATAAAATTTTAAAATCTAAAATTCCCACCCTGGAATTGAACCCACAACCTTCAGATTTCAAGTCAGTAGTCCATACCATTGGACTAAGCATAATTTCACACTTTTTAGTGGTTACGAAATTAACTATGAAGTTAAATTTACCCCAAAAGACATAAAATTTCAAAAACCAAAACTCCACCCCTGGATTTGAACCCACAACCTTCAGATTTCAAGTCAGCCGTCCATACCATTGGACTAAGCATAATTTCACACTTTTTAGTGGTTACAAAATTAACTATCAAGTTTAAATTTACCCACAAAGAACTAAATTTTAAAATCTAAATTTCCCCCCCTGGAATTGAACCCGCAACCTTCAGATTTCGAGTCGGTAGTCCATACCATTGGACTAAGCCTAATTTCACACTTTTTAAAGGTTACGAAATTAACTATAATGTTTTAATTTACCCAAAAAAGTAATAAAATTTTAAAATCTAATATTCCCACCCTGGAATTGAACCCACAACCTTCAGATTTCGAGTCAGTAGTCCATACCATTGGACTAAGTGTTTCACAATTTTTAAATGTTACGATATTAACTATGAAGTTTCAATTTACCCAAAAATAAATAAAATCTAAAATCTAAAATTTCCGACCTGGATTTGAACCCGCAACCTTCAGATTTCGAGTCGGCAGTCCAAACCATTGGACTAAGCATAATTTCACACTTTTTTGTGGTTACGAAATTAACTATAAAATTTAAATTTACCCTAAAAGACATAAAATTTTAAAATCTAAAATTTCCACCCTGGATTTGAACCGACAACCTTCAGATTTAGAGTCAGTAGTCCATACCATTGGACTAAGCATAATTTCACACTTTTTAGTGGTTACGAAATTAACTATGAAGTTAAATTTACCCCAAAAAACATAAAATTTCAAAAACCAAAACTCCACCCCTGGATTTGAACCCACAACCTTCAGATTTCAAGTCAGCCGTCCGTACCATTGGACTAAGCATAATTTCACACTTTTTAGTGGTTACAAAATTAACTATCAAGTTTAAATTTACCCAAAAAGAAATAAATTTTAAAATCTAAAATTCCCACCCTGGAATTGAACCCACAACCTTCAGATTTCAAGTCAGTAGTCCATACCATTGGACTAAGCATAATTTCACACTTTTTAGTGGTTACGAAATTAACTATGAAGTTAAATTTACCCCAAAAGACATAAAATTTCAAAACCAAAACTCCACCCTGGATTTGAACCCACAACCTTCAGATTTCAAGTCAGCCGTCCATACCATTGGACTAAGCATAATTTCACACTTTTTAGTGGTTACAAAATTAACTATCAAGTTTAAATTTACCCACAAAGAACTAAATTTTAAAATCTAAAATTCCCCCCTGGAATTGAACCCGCAACCTTCAGATTTCGAGTCGGTAGTCCATACCATTGGACTAAGCCTAATTTCACACTTTTTAAAGGTTACGAAATTAACTATAATGTTTTAATTTACCCAAAAAAGTAATAAAATTTTAAAATCTAATATTCCCACCCTGGAATTGAACCCACAACCTTCAGATTTCGAGTCAGTAGTCCATACCATTGGACTAAGTGTTTCACAATTTTTAAATGTTACGATATTAACTATGAAGTTTCAATTTACCCAAAAATAAATAAAATCTAAAATCTAAAATTTCCAACCTGGATTTGAACCCGCAACCTTCAAATTTCGAGTCGGCAGTCCATACCATTGGACTAAGCATAATTTCACACTTTTTTGTGGTTACGAAATTAACTATAAAATCTAAATTTACCCTAAAAGACATACAATTTTAAAATCTAAAATTTCCACCCTGGATTTGAACCGACAACCTTCAGATTTAGAGTCAGTAGTCCATACCATTGGACTAAGTGTAATTTCACAATTTTTAAAGGTTACGAAATTAACTATAATGTTTTAATTTACCCCAAAAAGTAATAAAATTTTAAAATCTAAAATTCCCAACCTGGAATTGAACCCACAACCTTCAGATTCCGAGTCAGTAGTCCATACCATTGGACTAAGTGTAATTTCACAATTTTTAAATGTTACGATATTAACTATGAAGTTTCAATTTACCCAAAAATAAATGAAATCTAAAATCTAAAATTTCCAACCTGGATTTGAACCCACAACCTTCAGATTTAGAGTCAGCAGTCCATACCATTGGACTAAGCATAATTTCACACTTTTTAGTGGTTACGAAATTAACTATGAAGCTTAAATTTACCCAAGAAGACATAAAGTTTTAAAATCTAAAATTTCCACCCTGGAATTGAACCCACAACCTTCAGATTTCAAGTCAGTAGTCCATACCATTGGACTAAGTGTAATTTCACAATTTTTAAGTGTTACGATATTAACTATGAAGTTTCAATTTACCCAAAAATAAATAAAATCTATAATTTCCAACCTGGATTTGAACCCGCAACCTTCAGATTTAGAGTCAGCAGTCCATACCATTGGACTGAGCATAATTTCACATTTTTTTGTGGTTACGAAATTAACTATAAAATTAAAATTTACCCTAAAAAACATAAAATTTTAAAATCTAAAATTTCCACCCTGGATTTGAACCCACAACCTCCAGATTTAGAGTCAGTAGTCCATACCATTGGACTAAGTGTAATTTCACATTTTTTAAAGGTTACGAAATTAACTATAATGTTTTAATTTACCCAAAAAAGTAATAACATTTTTAAATCTAAAATTCCCACCCTGGAATTGAACCCACAACCTTCAGATTTCGAGTCAGTAGTCCATACCATTGGACTAAGTGTAATTTTACAATTTTTAAATGTTACGAAATCAACTATGAAGTTTCAATTTACCCAAAAATAAATAAAATCTAAAATCTAAAATTTCCAACCTGGATTTGAACCCACAACCTTCAGATTTAGAGTCAGTAGTCCATACCATTGGACTAAGCATAATTTCACACTTTTTAGTGATTACGAAATTAACTATTAAATTTAAATTTACCCAAAAAGACATAACATTTTAAAATCTAAAATTTCCACCCTGGATTTGAACCCACAACCTTCAGATTTAGAGTCAGTAGTCCATACCATTGGACTAAGTGTAATTTCACAATTTTTAAAGGTTACGATATTAACTATAATGATTTAATTTACCCCAAAAAGTAATAAAATTTTAAAATCTAAAATTTCCACCCTGGAATTGAACCCACAACCTTCAGATTTCAAGTCAGCAGTCCATACCATTGGACTAAGCATAATTTCACACTTTTTAGTGGTTACGAAATTAACTATGAAGTTAAATTTACCCCAAAAAACATAAAATTTCAAAAACCAAAACTCCACCCCTGGATTTGAACCCACAACCTTCAGATTTCAAGTCAGCCGTCCGTACCATTGGACTAAGCATAATTTCACACTTTTTAGTGGTTACAAAATTAACTATCAAGTTTAAATTTACCCACAAAGAA